CTGCTTTATCTCTGCCTCCTTTGTTCAAGGGGAACTGTCCAGTGACTTTTCTTTTACCCTGTCTCTTATTTATTCTCTAAACCAAGATTCCTGGGCATGGAATAGAAAATTGTGTTCCAACTCTGAATTAGTCATAGAGGCTCTAGTTTTTTCTGGGGACTGTGTTTCAAAAGGGACCAGGTGTATCAATTATGCTGCCCATGCCAGTGTGCCACTTCTTCAATCACTTGTGTCCCCTTGTTTGTGAAGCACAACAGAATGTGCTTTCAGAAGCAGTCTTTTGTATTCTTAGAGTCTAAAAATATTTGCATGTAAATGTTGGGAATCCAAACAGTCTCCTTAAAATCTACACTTTGCAGAAGGAGGCATACAGACCATCGAGGTGCATTTGAAAATTAAATTTACACCAAATGCACCTTAGGTGTTTGGCCCATAAGATTGCACTAATGCCTAAGAAGGAGAGAATGTAATGTTGATTGAGGCAAAGCATAAATAATCATATTTAAAAATGAATACAAGTTGCATAATGAAAATTTCCAAACTATTAGCCTACTTTATAAAAAAAGTTAATTCAACACAAGCCCAGAGCTGGCTGTTGCTCATGTGTTGTGCTGCCAGTTGGCAAGCACAGCTTTGCAAGAGGATTGAGGGAAATGAGAGTTATTGTAGTGGAAGCACACTTGGCCTTTTGTGATGAGGGTACAAACTGCATCACTCTCTCAAGCCCCTGCTGTTCTGTGCTGGAGAGTGGACACCAGGATACTGCAGGCCTTCAAGGGAAGATGCTTACTTTTCCTAGAGGTAAAGTGGCCCAGTGCCAAGGCTTGGGGAAGAGCCCTGAGAACTGAGAGTACAGTTCTTGAAAGAAAGCATTCTAGGCAAATGAAGATGATAAGGACCAAAGAGGAGCTGTACCTGGTCTCCTGTGCACTGCCCCTATGTTTGCAATCCTGGGCCCTAGAGGAGAGCAGGCCACACAGAGGCTGGCTTTCTCTGGGATGAATTTCGCATGCCCTTTTGGACAGGAAAGGCCATTCCACTGCTCCAAGCCTGCATTCCTTCATCTGGAATATTAAGGGAGTGTACTAGATGACTGTGAAAACCTCCTCAGTCCTTCCTTCTAGAAAAAGAAAGGCACATTGCTTGTCAGGGTGGCATGAAACAATGAGACTGTGTTATTGTTGTCTCCATCCTTTTACTGCAGTACTCATAGTACTCATGAGTATTTATCTCACCAAATTAAGGTGGGCATGTGTGAAGGTACTTCAGAGGAGAATGAGAAAGTGCTTGCTAGGCAAGAGGAGCTGAGGCAAGCGTTCATTATCTCTGAGACACCTTACTGCCTTGACTAATTGGGAGGGAGGATTAGGAAAGTCTCAAACGAATCTTCCTACTAAAATAATTTCATGCAGCATTCTCAGGAAATGGGTATATGATGAGAGTTATGTTGTCAGTTTCCTGCATTGAGTGTGTCCCCTCAAGGTTTGGAAACTTCAGTCCAACTCCTATTGGTCACTTTGTACAACTCCTCCTCTTCTATTAATAGGTGCCCCTGGACTACAGGAATTCAAATTAGACAAAGTTGGATTACCAATTACGAAATGCAATGAAAAACTCTATTTAGGTGCCATATTTTACCTTTAGGTTTTCAAAAATTCCTAGAGTATTCACACCAGCCCTGAATGATGGGTCAGAAAAATTATACATCCACACATTTTCAGGAGCATGCCTAATTTTGGGTAAAGCACCCCCTTCTCAGAATTCAGGCAAGCGTGTCTATTCTTTTGTGAACAACTTACATCAAACTCTCTGCCTCCATTTTGTACTTATGTACAGCAACTACTCTCTTTGTCCAAAAAGCCACTTTTCATACTCAATGGTGACCTTTATATTCTCAGCTAAAGAATTTTCTCATCCCTCTTCCTTTCTTGCCCTTTTCTCTAAGTACTTGTAGTCCAAATGATGGCTTAGAATTTTCTCAAGGATTTTCAAGTGAAATCTCAGTGGTTCTGATTACATCTGTTTAAAACAAGATCGAGGTAATACAAATTGTTTTAATAAAAAAAATTTTAATATACAAATATATCTTACCTTCTCCTTGCTTGATTTGACCACAAAAATTACTATAGTGAAAACTCCCAGACATGTATTCTTCACTGTGAAACAACTTTCTATAGTGAGAGCACATCCAGAATTATTACATTACTGTAAAAGGCTGGAGTTCCTGCACTCCGAGATTGTGTTTATAATTCTTTGGCCAAAGCTAATATCAGAAAAGATGATCTATCACAAGTAAACATATTTGCTGATAACAGTTTCTAAAGTTGTTTTATAAATCAAAGAAATCTTTGTATTAGAATAATTAATTTCTGATCCATGACTTAGGGATATTTGAAATGCACTTTAAAAAGATATTCTTTGTGGGATTACTTTAGAAGACATCTGCTTTTTAAGATCCAGCCCAAGGGGAACATTTTATCTGCAGAAATGCTTTGATAGTCCCTTCATTCCTATGCCACCAACCTTCCTTAAATCATCTGACACCTGGAAAAATAGATATGATTTTGTTTTGTTTTCTTTTTCTTTCTCTCTCTCTTTTTTTTTTTTTTTTGGTACCAGGGATCAAACTCGGGACCTTGCGCTTGCAAGGCAGTCGCTGGAACCACTGAGCTAAATCCCTGGCCCATTCTTTTGGTTTTTTGAGACAGGGACTCATTTATGTAGTTCAGGCTGGTGAACTCTCTATATGTAGCCCTGGATGGTCTCAAACTCATGGCCATCCTCCTGCCTTAGCTTCCTGAGTGCTGGGATTACCAGCATGCACCACACCTGGCTTAGATATGATTTTTAGATATGATTTTGGAAAGAATACTCACATTTTTTACTTCTTCCAGGCAGCCTGAGATGAAGAAGCTTTTTTGTTTGTGTGTATCAAGCTGGATATGTCAGTTAATTATGGGATTTGTATGCTGGCTGTTGTTTGTCTTGAGTCTGAGGGTGGCAAGGCATGATGAGGTCCTAGAATTTTTTTGGAGGGAGTACTGGGGGATTGAGCCCAGGACATTCACACTGAGCTATATCTCCAGTCTCTTTTTACTTTTTTATTTTGAGATGTGATCTTTCTAAGTCACTAAATTGCCCGAGCTGGACTTGAGCTTGTGATCCTCCTGCCTCAAACTCCCAGAATGCTGGGATTATAGGCCCGAGCCACCACACTCAATTTGTAACTTTTATTTGTACAGGCCATGTAGTTCTAAGAGGACTTCAGGCATTGAGAAACTTGATGTTTATCAAGAAGGAAAGGACTCAGCAACACAAATTAAGAATGGTTGGATTTCACAGTCACTTGGTGAGGATGGCTATGGGCACACACGGATGCATTTCTGGATGTTTCTCCCTCTCAAAAGAGGCCAGGCCTCTGTGGTACTGATGATTTACTTGTAGCAGAAGTCTCACATCAGATAGAACCACTTTGCTAATGTCTGACATTGACATGTGTGAAAGGAGAAAAGGAAAGAATGAAAAGTATTGAGTAACACTGCAAAACCTGTATGCTTTCTTGAGAAAACAGCCTCCTTTCAATCTGGGAGCACGTAACTGCTGTGTAATTTGTTTGTTTGAGACAGGTTCTCTCTATGTTACCTAGGGTTGGCCTTGAGCTACTGGGATCATGTGAACTTCCCACCTCAGCCTCCTGAGTAGCTGGTATTACAGGCATGCATCACTGCACCGGCTTGTAACTTGTCTTTGATATATGCCCCCCAACCTGCCCCATCTTATATAAGAGGAAATTCTGGTATAACGAAGACACTCTTATCTGAAGCCGCTGCAATCATTTCATAGTACACTGTTATTAAAATTACTATATATTGGTAGAAATTGCTCAAAAGCAAGTTTTACTAAAAATAAGTTGTATATTTAAAAAATAGTAGGTCTGGCCTCCTTCCCCCACACCCTATTTTTGCTTTGGATTGTTTTCTACCCTGGAAAATTTATGTGAAGACAGCATCAACAAAGCAAAGGTCTGTTTCTTTTCTTTTTTTAATGTGGTGCTTGGGATTAAACCCAAGGCCTCATTCATGCTAGTCAAGCGCTCTACCACTGAGCTGCCTACCTACCCTTTGAAAACATTTTTGAGTTACCTTGCTGGCTTCAAATTTGGGATCTTCTTGCAGCAACAGTCTGAGTATCTCAGATTTACAGATATGTGCCACCACATCTAGCTGACTGCTTTTCAATGAGTGATTATTCTAGAACATTATTCAGGAGACCATGTCTTGCTTTGAGCAGCACCAAACCAAAACGTACCATTTCAGCATTTAATAATCGGGAACCAGGATTCTCTCAAGGATGTTGAAGTTGACAAAATACACTTGAAGGTGGAATCATCTGCTTTTGAGCTGGAGGAGCTACAGAAATAGGTTTCTCTGCCCCGTGTGTGAGGAAAGGAAGAAGAGCCTTTTTCTAGCCTTGATGGAGGTCCCTTTTGTGTCTTCTTTGAAATTTCAGGCCTTGGCACCAAAGTGGCTCCTATTCCCCTACCATCTCCACAAAATGGAGGGTAATGAACAGAATTAGAGTACTAGGTGGGCGTCTGGAGGCCACCTTTCCTTAAAGCTGAGTAGCTGCTTAGGAAGTTTCCCTTTGAGGCCGGGGTTTAGCCTGAGGTCCTTTGTATGAATGGAACCTGGCCTTGCCTGGAAACTGTTCTCTCAGTAGAGACTTGCCCCCTCCCCTCTGGCATATGTATGTGGTCCCAAAGGGGCAAGGTGAGGCTGAGGATGGGAGGATGGGAAGATGCTTGCCACAGGCACTTAGGGAACTTTGATGTGAATGACCTATTGATGGTGACATAGGGATATTACCTTATGAAAGTAGGCCTCTTCATCATTCTGTTCAAATCCCATTCTCTCATCAATTCCCACCCATATCCTAACCTTACTTGGCGCTGAAAATCAATATACTGCTAATTCACATCTTTATTGAACAGTTATGTGGTCTACAAAAAACAAGAAGGCACTAACTTTATCTGTTCACTTCGTTTAACAGGTATTTAACAACTTACTCTAAGGTGCTGTGCAACAATTTATATCTGGCAGAAAACCTTTGGAAAAACTGTTACGAAGACCAAGCTTTACAAAATGGGGCCTATGAAAGGATCCTGGATGATGGAGCTCCGTGGCATACCTACGGAGGCCAGGTCAAAGTGAGGCACACGTGGCCCAGGAGGAATATACATCATCTGCGGCCTGCATGGCAGATGTGGCAAGGTTGGCCTGAGTGGCACAGGTACAGGTAGTACAGGGAGCCGAATGGGTGGTAGCATTACAGGATCACATCTCAAAGTAGGATCCACAAAAGGTACAGCACTAAAGGGCCCATTGAAGATTATGCCCATACCAGGGCCCAGGAAGACAGGAGGCATATTTTTCAATATTTGTGCCCTCTGATGTCGCCTCCACTTGGCTCTTCTATTCTGAAACCAAACCTTCAATCAGAAGGAAAAAAGGTATTGGTTTAGTATAATGAACAGTGAATGTCATAACAGAAAAAAACACAGCATGCAACTAACTATATGTGCCATTGAGATTTTAAACTGGAAATCAGTATGGAGATTACTCAGAAAAGCTAAAAATGGAACTTCCATTTGACATACAGCTATTCCCCTTCTAGGATTCTTCCCCAAACAGTTAAGATAACCATGTTACAGTGACACATGCATACTCATGTTGGTGGCAGTACAATTCATCATAGCTAAATCTCGGATGTGGCCTATATATCCATCAAGAGCTGAATGGAAGAAGAAAATGAAGTACTGTATTTATTTACAGTGGAGTACTACTCTGCCATAAAGAAGGATAAATCTGAGTCATTTGTAGGAAAATGGATGCACCCTGAGACAATAAAGTGAAATAAATCAGACACATAAGTTTAAATATCACATTATTTCTCTTATATAAGAAAGCCAAGATATAAAGAAAAAAATAAAAAATAGATAATAGGAAATAGGGAAGGGAATCAAGAGATAGAGGAAGGGGGAGGGAAAGAAGAGGAAGGGGATGAAAAAAAGAATTATACTGTGTTATGTACAAGTATCAACTCTCCAGAAGGAATGTAATTGTTATGTACTACAAACATGCATTGATAAAAATAAAAATAGACATATATGCTTGTTTCCAAGATCTAACTATTATAAATTGTGCTGCTATAAGCATGAGCATGCATATATTCTTGTAATATGATAATTTTAAGTCTTTTGAAAAGATACCTAGAAGGAGGATGCCTGGGTCAAAGGAAATTTCTCTATTTTTAGTTTTTTGAGGATCTCTACACTGATTTCCTTAATGATTGTATTAGTTTACATTCCCATGACAAATGTAAGAGAGTTCCTTTTCTCCCACAACCTTGCCAGCATTCATTCTTATTAGATTATTTGATGATAGTCATTCTTTCTGGGGTAAGATAGGATCTCAATGTACTTTCAACTTGCATTTCTCTAATGGCCAACATATATGTTTATCAACAGATGAATGGGTAAGGAAAATGTATAAAATGTATTTATATACAATGGAGTACTACTCTGCCATAAAGAAACATAAACTTGAGGAATTTGTAGGTAAATGGAGCAACTAGAGAACATAATGTTAAATGAAATAAGTCAAACACACAAGCTTAAATATCACATGGTTTATCTTATATGAGAAACCATCTATCTATCTATCTATCTATCTATCTATCTATATCTATATATATACAAATAAAGAGCAAAATAGAAGATAAATAAATGTGAAGATTTAGGGAGAAGTTCACATAATTCCCTGAATTACCTATTTTATTGTTTTTAGAATATTTTAATATATATGCTAATTTGTTTCATTTATAATATCACTTTCTTTTAGTTCATTGAAAAAAAGTTTTGTGCTAATAACTGCTTATCTCTTCTTTGTAAGACAGAATTTTTTTGTCTGTCTTGTACTGTAACTACTTTGAAGATAACAGCACACAGTTTATTAACCATTATTATTCTCTATTTGGTTATGAAATTTTAAAATAAAAAGTAAACTGCAACTGGTAAAGCCATTTATTTATTGCTATAATATCTTGAGAGTAAACAATTTCTCCCATCAGCCAGGTCTTAGTGAGCTGAGCCTAGTCCAGAGCTTGGCATATTACTGTATCTCTCCTCTTCCACTTTTAATATTCCTTAAATATTAAGATATTAACAAGAGTAGTTTTTCCAGGTCTTAGGTGTTGATAAACTACACAAGGTTCCTGCTATTAACTCTAAAGTCTGATAAACAGGGTAAATAACTGTTGGATCAGCAGCTATCCAGCTGTCCCTGTCTCCTTCTCACCAGGAATAATGTCAGCCCAGTTGTAAAGGAAACCAAGCATGGTCAAAAAAGAGGTGCTTAATTCATCTTTTTGAGGGGAACAATTCCCTTTTCAAAAGGAAAGCCTCATTTCACTCTGAAGTAACCAATACAGAGAAGCATATTGGCTCTTTGGATAGGTTTCCTCCTAGAATGTCTAAGGGCTCATTCTTTCCCTGAAATCTCTTGAGAAATAAACAAGTGGTGGTTGATCATGGGAGACCTGATCATGCTGTCCTAGGATTCTTGTGGCTTGTCTTGCTGGGACATGAGAGCTACTGAAGCCCTGGACTCCACCTTGATATTTTAGCCTTTAATGTTAATGAAAGTTTAGCTGTGTCCAAATTCTCTAGGATTCTACAATCCTTTGCAGACAAGAATTTGGGCACCCTATTTTCACCACTATTAATTTTACACACTCCTATCTGCTCCACCTTCCAAATTTTCCTGGACTCAAGACATGGTCAGTGCATTCAGTTCTTGGATTGAGGTCATTGTGGCCCACTGTGGCAAGGCACCCTAGGTTCTGCCAGTTCCACTTCTTAACCAGGGGACCCCAATCCCATCACTCATTGCTAAGGAAGGAAGGTCCAACTCTGCATTTTAGGTAAGTGTTCAACAGCAATGTGGATGAAGGATGTCACAAAAAGGCTGCTCTCCAACTACTTATGAACTATTAACAGAGTCAAGTCCTCAATTAGACTTTACTATCCTTTTAGCATACGAAATAAGGAAGCTTATATTGTATATGTTTTTGGAAGCTCCCAAACTGCAAATAATTAAAACAAAGGGCCTGTTTTCCCTGCCAGATAGCTTTTCTCTCTCTCACCTTAAGAGTGGGGTCTTTCTGTTGCATAAATATATTACGTGAAGAAGAGTGGTGCAAGAGAGCTCATTTTGGAGAGATTTAAATGTGCCAGTGGTAAAATCTCCCAAAATATAACCAAAGCCAAGATAGCAGATTTGGGAGTAGGCACATATTAAGTCAGTTTCTCCACGTCTGATTTCTTAAAACAGGTCTACTATATTGGCAAAAGAATGAGAAGAAAACTACTAAAATTTTCCTGGGGAAGGGCTAAAGGTGTGGTGGAATAGTAGAGCAGTTGCCAAGCATGCAAGTAGCATTCTTACAACCTTGAGTAAAATCCCCAGAACAATGACAAAAAATGCCCAATATAGAAAAGACAACAAAAAATACACCAACTTGAGAATGTCCAGAACAAAACCTAGACAAAAAACGTGTTTCAGAATGGCTATCCCTCAAAATTGCTTTGTAACGATTTACTGACCTGCACTTTGGCTTCAGTCAAATTCAGGCATCCAGCAAGCTCCTCCCTAAGGGGGAGAAAATTGCAAATGATCAGTGTTTGAAGTTGTGGCTAAAATGAAATATATGGATGTGCATTATTCCTATCCCCATGATATATATCATATCCTCATGCCGTTTTCTGTAATACACCTTGAGGTTTGGGTTAGAGAGGGGTTTCCCATGGACAACTTACTCATTAAATAAGAAAAAAGGGAATACATGTGAAAGTGTCTGAGTAGTACGTTTGTTAGCTGAATATAACTCAATCAATTTTTCTGTTTGTGGAACTTCAGAGAACAACCCTAGAAATCTTTTCTTGGGAGGTTCCTCCGTGGAAAATAAAATGCCAGAAAGATGTGGTGGTGCCTGCGTGTAATCCCAGTAGTCAGGAGGCTGAGACAGAGGATCATGAGTTTGAGGCCAGCCTAGGGTACATATGAGACCTTGCCTCAAACAAATAAAACCCAAGGTACCTTTAAAGCACCTTTTTTTCAGTACTGGTGGTTGAATCCAAGCCCTTCACATTTAACCACATCCTAGACTGCTACCTCCTCCCCCCTCCCCCTCTCTAGCAGTACTCACATTCAACCCTGGGGTTCACCCAAGTCAGGCAGGTACTCTACCACTGATCTAGATTTCCAGCACTTCTTTCTTTTTAAATTTTGAGACAAGTTCTCTCTGAGTTGCTCAGGCTGGCCTTGGACTTGGAATGTTTCTGCCTCAGCCTCCTGAGTAGCTCTAGTTAAAGGCATGTAGCAATGTGCCTAGCAAAGCACTGTTTCACAACAGAACATTTATGTTTATTATAAACCAGAGTGAACTCTCAAGAGTGTACACCAAACCAAGACAGCCCAAATGTACCCGATGCAAATTATTTTTTGCTGTTTGGCCGGTGAAGAATAAATACAGTGGAGCAAGAAAAGGCATCCCCATTTCCTACACCTGGGAGGCTGGTCCTTTATTCTTGTCAGGGCCAGAAGAGGCCTGCACTTCTATCCTAGCCTGGGCAAAATAGCAAAACCTTATCTAAAAGGAAAAAAAGAAAAAAAATAAATAAATAGGGCTGAGCTATGGGTCTAGGTCAGCGCGAAGGCCTTAAATTCTTGGGTTTACTGTAAAATATGTGGGCCTCTCATGAAGGGGTCCCGGACTTTGGAGAGCTGAAAACTTTGCCTCCTGCTTGGGAAAAAACGTCCCATAAGGCAGAGCTGGAAAGGCGTGAGACAAGATAAGAGTCTCCAAAGGGCTCTAGGGCAGGCGATTTAGCTCAGTGGTGCTGCCTCCTGCCATGCAAGCGCAAGGTTCCGAGTTCGATCCTCTGTACCAAAAAAAAAAAAGGGCTCTAAAATCTCAGTAATATGGGTGGATAAACATTTCAATGCACTATTCAAAATCACCAAAATTAATGTAACAACTCATGGCGAAAAAAAACAACACAAAGTTTTAAATATAAACAAGATCTGCCCGTGCCGCACTTCCCCGTGCCTCTAGTCCTACAGCTCCCCCCCCCCCCCCCCCCCCCCCCCCCCCCCCCCCCCGCCCGCCAGCAAAAGGGCGGGCCTCAGAGTCTTCGCGCCGCCTAGAGGGCTCCCGGAGATATCAAAGTCCCCTAGAGAACTGGAGCAACCTCCGGATCGAGCTACTTACCGCACAAAAACGTCGGGGTACTGATTGCGACGGAAAAACGCCTCCAGCTCCTGCACTTGGAACTGCGAGTAAGTGGTGCGGCCGCGGCGCTGCCTCCTCTCTGGGAGCAGTGGCTCCTCCGCTGCCGCGGGGGCTGGCTCCTCCTGCCCTTCCCTGGGCTCTAGGTGCCCGCCGTCATCCTCCAGGTTTCCGCCGTCCAAGCTGCTGGGCGCTTCTGCGAGGAGGCTGCCTTCGGCTTCTGCTTCCGCTCCTTGCTCAGGTTCGGATGGTGTCTTTTCCTCGCCGTCTAGCCCTGCTCCAATCGCGGAGGCCACCGTCGGCTGCACATCTGGGAAAGAAGGAAAGCAAAAAAGGAAGACCAGGGCGTTGGAGCCCGCGGCGCGTGGTAAGAGGTATGGGGTCACTATAGAAGAGTAGCAGCGTCCCGTCCCCGCGTCTCCCAGAGAAAAGTTTCTGTGGTGGAGTTCGCCGTGACACCTGTCCCCTTCCAAGCACTGACCATATAGCTGTTCCTCGAGTTCGCTGGCTCCGAGGCTGCCGTAGCTAGTGCTACAGTGGCTGGGTTTGGGAAGAAATTCCATATCTTAAGTGCTGTCGATGAAGTTGCGCGCTTCTGCAGACTCCGAGGGGTCTGTGGTGATGGTGGGGTGGAGGAAAGAGCGGGAGCTAGTGGCTGCTCTCCTGCTCTTCTGGCGCCTTCTGGGAGCCGCACTCCTTATATAGCGGTACAGTGAGCCCCTCAGGTTCTAGGAGCACACGCGCTCTGCAGGTAACACGCCCTCTATCAGAATTCCTAGTGTATCTATTTGGAGTTGGTGGGACCTGACGGTGGCGCGCTTGCGGCCAGGACAAATAAATAAAATAGGTCGAGTATGTGCGAGCTAGCGCGGTGCTGGTAGTGGACGTGCTGGACGGAAAACTGGCTCCAGTTTGCAGCCGAACTATTTTCAACTAGGGCGGAGTGTCCGATTGGGGGAAAGGGTTGTGCTCGATTGTGAAAGCCAGTTTATGGACTGGGGGTGGGGGGGGTGGGGGATCTGGAGGTGGTGAAGTATATGCAGTGTTTCTCCGCCCAAACCTAGACTTTCTATATCCGGCACGTGGACTTGCCCAAAGGAAAAGATGGATATATAGGACTGGGGAAGCTCAGAGGCCTCAGCAATCCGAATGTGCTAAAGCGAAGGTAGTCTAGTATGTCTGGGTAGTCCAGGGTAAGCACGACTCTCCCCTCCTAGAATTTGGCGACTAGTGAATCGAACTATCTTGGTTCTGTACCATTTTGCGCCCCAAATCTCCATAACGAGCTAATAAAACGTAATGGTTGGCTGGGAGGCTGCTTGCTGAGTTTTTGAAAGCCCCCTTCCCCCCCATGCATTCCAGGAGCAGGAGTTCAGGGCTGGGTTTGCAGAGCAGTTCGGGTGTTCAGAGGCACTCTGGAAGTTTTGCAAAAGTTCCAAGGACTTCAGATTTTAAGTAATGAACCCAAGTCAGAATGCAAAGTTAGAACCTGCCAAACAGTGCATCTAAAAATGCTCACATTACCGGGTCCCCTTCCTTTGGTCAGGTGGCACTTGCAACCTTTGCTGAGCTATGCTGCTGCGCTTCTTATTACAACCTCCTTTGGAAAAGCCCGCTCTGCAGAAAACCTGCTCTTTGGCTCTAAAGCGCGCGCATTTCCCACGTCTGTTCGGCAGACTCCAGGGAGAAGCCCCCCCCACCCTGCCCCCGCCTCTGCGGCCCGCCTCCGCCTGCTCTATTACCTTTCCTTTCTCCTCCCCCTCCCTTTTTCTAGAACTGTCTTCCAGAGTCTGTCCTCCCTAGTGATGTATCAAATTTAAAAGGGCACCATTTTAAATTCTAAGGGGCACGATTACGATTGAAAGATGTATGCTTCTCCCTCCAGGAAATGTTTGCAGGAGTACAGGACATATTACTATACTTAACATTATAAAAATAACTTTTAATAATTGCCCATGTGCTTGACGTTTTACATGATTTACCCTACTTTACCTTCACAACCAGAATTGTTATTATTCCCATTTTTACACAAAAGATTTAATTGCAGGAATGCTAGACAACTTGCCATAGTGGTCATACTAGCTGTTTCAGTACAGCATCGGGTGCACTTTTCACCCTATTACTGCTGTCTTAATTCAGAGGAGTAAATAACGGTATTCTAGGTCGAAATTGGGAAGAAGGCCTTGGTCAGAGTCTTTACAAATGTGGGGTTCTGCCCCTCCTCTTGCACTAATTCGGGCCTCTTCCTTTTGCACAGTGAGTCTCTTTAAGTCAGAGGTCTGGGATTCAGCAGTGCTAGGTTTCCCAGCCCACCTCTAAACACTTGCTCATACTGAGGAGAAATTAACAGGATATGTCCTCCATATAGGATGGTGAGCTGGTTTCTAGAAGATTCAAGAGGGAGAGGCCCTGAGGTCTAGTTCTATGTCAGGGCTACATTATGACTTTTGTGGGTCCTAGGCATTTTTTTCTCTTTTAGGTCCCTTCCTTTTTTTTTTTTTTTTTTTTTGGTTTTTTGAGATGGGATCGATATTGTTCTGTAATTCAGCCTGGTCTTGAACTTGCTATGTAGCCCAAGCTCTCAGCAGTCCTCTTGAATCAACCTTCTGAGTGCTGGGATTATAGGTGTGTGTCACCAAGCCCAATTTAAACAAATATTTAAAATTGTATTTTACAACTGCATTGATATAAAGATGAAATAATCCAGGCTTGATTATATTCGCTTTTCTCTGAAGTTGACCAATTTCTCTGAAATTTCAAAAGCTATTAAGACATTTTCAAAGGCCCCTAAAATGATGAGTCCTGGGCATTGTAACTACTGTGCCTAATAGAAAGCTCTCCCTGCTTCCTGTTCCCATCAGGTGTTGGGTAGAAAATCAGCTAACAGATGTTTGTTGACCAATTAATTTTCAAGATGTAAGAAATGGCAATCCTGGAACCTCTGATTTTAATTAAGACCATTTCCTCCTCACACTGGCTCTTGCTGACTTTTGCAGGCTTTCTTCTCACTTGTCTAGATACCTGGTAAACAATTTTGGCCTGGGATGAGTAATTGCATGAAAAATTCATACTATTCATGGTTGTAATCAAGGTGTACAGTAGCTTACTGGTACACTGTGATAGATATGTTCTGTCACATCTCTGATTTCCACACTTGTTCATGTGCCCCTTTGCAAATTTTGCCATATCTTGGAATCAGATGTGATAGTATTTACTTAACATGTTTACTTAAATTGATTTAGTTTTTGAAAACCTTAAGTACCTAATTGAGCCTCATCCTGGGAAAAAAATAGCTATGAATCCAAGGGTTTGACATACCATATTTATGTGAGTTAGAGCATAGCAATATTTGAGAGCAGGGAACCTGAAGCCAGACTGCCGGCATCTGAATCCTGAATTTGCTGGCCACTTATGTACTAACTAGCTAACTTGGTGAGCTGCTTATTCTCCCCATGTCTTAGTTTTTCATCTGTAAAATGGGAATAACCAATAGTACCTACTTCATGAGGTTGTTGTGAGAATTAATTGAGATGGTAATAACTAACATAAACTAATTTTTACCAAGTGCTTTATTATAGTAATACAATTTTGCTCATAATAATCCTGTGAAGGTAGATACTACTATTATCCTCATTTTATAGATAATGATAGTCACAGAAAGATTAAGTAACTTGCTTACAGGAATTTAGCTGATAAATGTTGGGCCTTGGCTTTGAACCTAGTTTCCTTGAGTGATTCGCTATAGAGAGCAGGTGCTGAGTAATGATAGAATTCATGATTTAAAATTTGTTGTATTCATACACATTGGAATACTACTCTGCCATAAAGAAGAATAAATTTGAGTTATTTGTAGGAAAATGTATGTACCTTGAGACCATAATGTTAAGTGAAATAAATCAGACGCACAAGCTTAAGTATCACATGGCTTCTCTTATATGAGAAACCCAAAATATTAATAAAGGAAAAATAAAAGATAAATAATAAGAAATAGGGAGTTACATCTTTTGCAAAAGGGAAGGGGACCAAGAGATGGAGGTGGAGGGGAGGAGAGAGAAAGGGGATAAAAAAGAATTATGATGTGTTAGGTATATGAGAAATGAAATCATTATGTGCTGTAAACATATGCTAATATAAAAATTGAAGAAAAATAATGTTGTGCAACCATCACCATTATCAATTCCAGAACATTTTCCTACCCTATAAAGAAAACCTGTATCCATTAACATTCATTCCCCATCTCTCCCATTTGCAGCTGCTGGTACCCACTAGTGCACTTTATATTTCTGTGGATTTTTCAATTCTGGACACTTATATGCAGTAATCCTCCCTTCTGTGTGACTTCATGTTCTGTGGTTTTAGTTACCCACGGTCAATTGCAGTCAGAAAATATTAAATGAAAAATTCCACAAGAAATTCATGTGTTTTAAATTGCATGCCAGTGTGACTAGTGTGAGGAAATCTCATATTCATGCTGTGTATGCTACCTGCCCATTAGTCACTTAGAGCCATTGCGGTTATTAGACTGCCATGACATCTCAATGCTTGTGTTCAGTTGATCCTTATTTTACTTAATAATGCCCCCAAAGTACAAGAAAAATGCTGGTAGTCGGAATATGCCAAAGAAAGCTGTAAAATTCTTCTTTTAAGGGAGAAGCTGAAAGTTTTCAGCTTAAATAAAGAAAAATTTGTGCACCAAGGCCATTGAGATCTAGGGTAAGAATAAATCTTCTAACCCTGAAATTGTGAAGAAGGGATAAAGAAATCCAAAGCTATAAGTACTTAATTAAGATGGACAAGGTATTACTAGGTTTGTGGGTAGAAGACATGTTGCACAAGAAAGTATTGAACCTATAAGAGGACTACAGCAAGGCATTTCCTGAAACTAGTGACATCAAGTAATTTACTGCAAATAAGGGATGCTTACCAGATTCTGGAACAGATTTGGATTTAAAAACATAAAAATTACTGGAGAAGCTGTGTTTGCTGATAAAGAAGCTTCTGCCACATTTCTGGCAGAGTTGAAATGGATTGAGACAGGGTACCATCTCAAGAGTATCTTTAGTTGGAATGTAACTGGACTTTTCTGGAACAAGATGTCCAATAGAACCTATAATCACAAGCATTCAAATTAGGCACAAGGACACAAAACACAGAGGCGTAGATTAATTCTGACACATGCAGTAAAATAAGATTGAGAGAGAACATTTCCATAAATTTTATTTCAGTATACTGTTACAATTGTTCTATTTATTATTATTATTGTTAGTCTCTTACTGGGCGTAATTCATAAATATATGAAAATAGTGTGTATATGGGTTTAGTACTAAGTTTCAGCCATCTACTGGAGGTCTTAGAGCATATCTTCTGTGGATGGGGAACTACTATAAACAGAATTATATGATATATGGTCCATTATATCTGGCATCTTTCACTTAACATGATTTTTTAGGCTCATTTGTGTTGTAGCATAGTAATTCATTCCTTTTTTTGATGAATAAAATTTTATTATATAGATATACTACATTTTGCTAATGCATTGATCAGCTGAAGATTATTCGGGTTGTCTTCACCTTTTGATAATTATAGATAGCTTGATGTATGCATTTACATACAAGCTTTTTTGGATACTTGTCTTCAGTTCTTCTTGTGTATATACTTAGTAATGAAGGTGCTGGGTGATATGGTAATTCTATGTTTAACTTTTTGAAGAACTGCCAAACTATTTTTCACTGCAGCTACACCATTTTACATTTTTATCATCAAGGGTTTGATGGCTCAATGTGTGGCTCAATGATAGAGTGCC